GCATCCCCATAGTACCATTAGTGGCATAGTGTGTCGTTGTACAGCAGGCAAACAATCCATAACAAAATCATCTCAAAAAGGGAGCAGCACTCGAGTGGGAAGGGGGCGTGAATCCGTAGCATCCCCAAGAAAGCCGTCAACTTTCTCCTTTGCCGCAGTCGTCAGTGGCTCGTTGCGGTAGTTATCCGTGAAACCGTTTGGTGCAAGGCGAACAGCTTTCACAAGTCTGTGACACTGGCGCTCATTGTTCCAGGCATAGGGATGTCTTACACCCACGAGCCACGAGGCATTGGAAGCACTGATAGTTCTCATTGCAGCCTCGGCCACACTCAGACGGCTTCTGTAATCCAGATGAGTGAAAATGTAACGAGGAATTGGCCCCAAATGAATTATACGTTCTTCGATGGCCTTCCATTCTTTCTGCTGATCCTCCTTGGGTTTATTGCGGTTCATCCATACACACCTCGCCTTCAATTCACGCACACTGGGGCAATTTATAATGATCCACCGCCCGCCACGTTGTTCCTTCCATCCTTCGAAGTTTTGTCTGGCTGGTGATGTCACCACAATCATGCCCCACGCATTATGGGGCAACGCGTGGGGCGGTTCATCTCCTTGCTGTGGGACATCGTAGATAATGTATCCCCTCACACGCATCGACAAGTGCCTTACAGCACTTTTTCCATCTTCAAAGTTTTCGTAGTACTCCACATGTCTTTCATCTTCGCCTCTGGTCTTGTCAAAGATAAATACCTTATTCCCAATGAAGTACGCAACAGCTGGAAGCCGTTCCTTGTCGTAGTGCAACAGTTGGTAGAGGAGATACGAACCAGTCCCCATAGATTTTCCTATGCCAGGTGTCCCAAGCAAAATGCAGTTGTGAGATTTCCTGGCACTTCTACCACAAGTCTCAACCATATCGTTTATATCAAGCTTAATGATGCGCCACGCACGTTCAGTCTCTGGTCCGATGTGGCAATCGTACATGTCTCTCCCTTTTAGCCATGTGTATGGCCACCCTCGTTCAGAATTGAGTACAATTAGCTCAACACGTGTTTCCTGCGGGTCTGCCACCCCCTCTGCACTTATGCTCTTCGCATTCTCACATACCGTGCCAGGAAGAGCATAGTCCACCTCGCTGTCTTTCCATTCCCTCGACGGCTTGCCTACCCTCACCTCCATTCCGACTCCTTCACTGTCACCAGGGATGTTCACTACATGGCTCCATGTAGCGTTAAACACAGACTCGTACATACCCACCAACGCTAATCCACGCTGTACAGGATATGAGTTCTTCGCAATGATGAGGGCAGTGTTCAGCATTCCCCTCACCAACGGGATGACGTGCTCCTTTTCATCGTACTCATCCCACTGTCTGAGAGAGTACACACCAGCATATTTCAGTTTGTGTACAGCGTCATTCAAAACAATTTGTCTCTTCCAGGCTTTGTTATCCTCAAGTAGTGTCTTGAATGAAGGCATCGCATATAAATCAGCAACCAGCTCTTCATCTTGAATGTACACCTCAGGTGCAACAACAAACATCTCTATACCGACATTATCGTTGGATGTTTCAACGCCCCGGCCACCCAAGTTTTTGCGAAGAAAGTCATTCAGTTTGACATTTACTGGCGAATAAATTCTTCTTCGAAGAACACTCTCTACTGTGCTGTGCAGAGTCCACTCGGGTGCCTCAGGAACCTTCACTCTCGCACGTGACGACGGGGGCTGAGCATCGTTGATGCCTGGATCCCCTCTTGGTCTCGCCCCTCCACGCTGTCCTTCTCCAACAACATTAGAAACTACTGCGATATCCCCTTCTGAAACATTACGGCAAGCATTCCTCTTTTTCGTCGGCATTACTGTTTGTAGATTACTTTTGTTTGAGAAGCAAAACACCAACTAGGCGGAGCAAACAGGACGAAAAGGGAGAAAGAAAAAATTGTCCGATAGCTACAGCGAGATGCCTGCCGACCTTCATTTGGTGCACGGAAGCCGCGCCTCACTCGCAAGAGAGCCGCCATGCCTCTCAGCGTCACAAGACGCGGGCAAAAGAATGAACCAACGCTGGGGTGTATGGATGTGTGTTGATGCCGTGCTCCACGGATCTAGCCCCGCAAAACTCGGGGCACGACGAAAGATGATTCCCCCACACACCGGCTATAGCCACCACTACACCTTTTATGTGAGATGGCAGCCACACATAATGCGGCGCACGCCATCACCACTGGCTTCACGACTACCTATACTCCAACAAGGACGCCAGTGCATCCTCGGAGCGGCACCGTAGAACACGTAAGAAGTACTCAAGCGATTCTTCCGTTGGCAGTGTTTTATCAGGAAAAGATGACGTCCTTCGTGAAATGCACCGCCCATGCTGATGGACGCGCCACCATTCGCAGTAATACTGCGTTCCATTATGAGACGTGCGCCACCACTTCACGGAAAGAGAGAGAAAGAGATAGGAGACATACAGCAAAGCATTAGCATCTCTATTCTACAATGCATCCCAAACGGTTCCCCCACTTCAGACCCATGTTTCCTTCTTCTCTTTCAGTTGGTTCCCTTCCAAAAATCATAGGGACGGTCTTTGATCGGTGAAGGTAAGAAAGTGAGGAAATATGAGCACCTGTCAGAGCTGGGGATCGTGCGCCTTCCACTCCTCCTCGCCCGTCCTGCACATTCCTACAGCCCCCATACCCGTCTTCCCATGTGGAGGTCACAACCAAGAAGAGCATTATAAGCAGCAACGCGGAGAAGCAGGCCAGCACAATCATCACCATTGTTCATACTAGATTGAGTAATGATGAAAAAGCAGAGGAGGAGAGCAGCAGGCTCTTCTTTTCCGCAAAGGCTAGCGGGCAAACAGACACCAACGCAATGCCTCTGCTAATCATATACCATGATGATGAGATGCACGCAACTGTCGAGAGATGATAACACTAAACGTCATGCCCGCGCCAAATGCACATACCAGTTAGCTGAAAGAGACACCGGAAACGCCCTCGCCTCAGCGACAACAACCAGCAGAGACATATACCTCTCNGCCAAATGCACATACCAGTTAGCTGAAAGAGACACCGGAAACGCCCTCGCCTCAGCGACAACAACCAGCAGAGACATATACCTCTCCATCACCCCCCCCCCACACACACGTCGGGGGTGGTGAAGCTGCCCGTGGCTCTCCACGAAACTCTCGCACTCCAGCAAAGGGGCAGAGCATAATGGTGGTGCACTGCAACCTGCGCAGAATTCCATGTGGTGGAACAACTCCAAACGCACAAAGCATCGCTGCGCCGTTATGATGGACCCGTGACGTGCGACGCATCAGCTGCTCTGCCATCCCCCACTCTTGTGATGGAAAGAGACTCAGCCCTATTCTTCTCTCGAGAAACTGAACATACCATCGTGCGCATTAGACAGAATCAACGGAATTAGCGTTGGAATACATTTTGTTTTGTATATTCACACATACTGCAGACAGCAATCCAAAACGAATAAGAGACAACGAGGCAGGCCTCTTGCAGACAAAATGCCTTGGAACTCCCTTTATTTCTCCTTGTCCCTGACGTCAGCGTCACCAGTAGTAGTGAAACGCTGCCAACGCCACCTCCATTCGTTTTCAGATCGCTTGCCAAACTTCGGTGTGTTGAACATAGATAAATCTCAATTCGGCCTGTGCCGTTAGGTACCGGATACCCGTGCGGCATACTCGAACCCTGTGGACCAGTCCCCGGCCACTGACGGTGTTACCACCTGGAACTCTGCGCAGCGCAAGCCAAATGAAGCGTCGCCATCATCAGTATGAGATAAATAAGAAGGAGTAGAAAAAATTCTGCAGCTCGCTTGGGGATGGGCACCAACTGCCCCACCCCAAATATGTGCTACAAGATCTTCAGCATATGCCCAAACACTCCTACGAAACTTCGCGCGGTTTTGAACCAATTGAAATTCAGTTTAAATTCAATCCTGTTGTGTCGTGGCGTGGGGTGTGGTGAAATGTACCGTAGGACTCCTGCAGTCGCTGTTGATCGGGGTGGAATTGCCGCACGAAAGCCGTGAAGGGCGGTACCCTCCACCACGGAGCCGTTATACACTAGTGCGCGCCTCGCCAGAGAGCACATGCATCCCCACCCCTCTCAGTAGCCACGGGTGCCCTCACAAGATGATTACGAACGAGTACAGTGTTCCTCCCTCTTTCACTGTACCAAGTAGTGTCGGAAGTGAGTGCGTTCGCAGGAGAATCACGCGTGGTACCAAAATACAGACTTTTCCCTATCCCAGGCTAGAGAGCAACACGTTGTGATGCTGTCGTTTCCACCGTCACACGTGGCACCGGTGCATGTGCACCATCACGCTTGTCATAGCAATAACAAAATAAACTGATGCAATCAATAACAATTCCAAAGATGCCTGCGCAGACAGACAGACATCCGTTCTCCATGTTTCCCCCCTTATTTGTGCATACAGATGCTGGTAGAGGCAACTGCTTCACCCTTGACCTTCTCCTGTGTGAGCACATACGTCGTTAAGATCCGGTCTACCTCTTGGGTGATCCGACAGCCGTAGCGACACCACTCGCTGCAAGCCACACGGTAAACACATGATGTATCAGGCGTGACCTGAATGCTGGCCCCGTAACGGATTCCGGAAAGGCACCGAGCACCGTACAATGTGTAATTGCTGCTGAGCTAAGACGCACAAGAGACGAAGTAGCACCGTGGTGGTAAAAAAAAGAATTAAAAAGAAAGGCAGAACCTACAGCGTGGAGAGAAAGAACAGGATTAAAGTGAAGAAGACCTCAGAACAACAGAGGTGTCAGTGATGCACAACAAAGCAGGCCTCACACAACAACACAAGGGAAACAAGTATCAAAAGTAACGGAAAAAACAGAAAAACAAACACAAATGAGCAGCCACCCCGTGAAGGGTGAATAGTAACCGAAACGCATGCGCACACACAGAACACAAAAAGAGTTATCACGTATGTGAAAAAAGGTGTATATATGGCGCGAGGAACGCCGCGCACGTCTCGAAGAAGACATGGACTAATTGACGTTGAATGCCATGAAATAAGTGCGATATCTATCAAGGTTCTGAACCAAAAAAACCCAGCAGACGTAACAACAGCAACGAAGAAGTGTTGTGGCTGCAGTCGAGCGTGCAAAGCACGGGAAGAAAACAGACGAAGCGTCTGCTATAACGATGGGTGCCAATTGCCACCTCATGGTTGAAATGGGGGTATTCCTGGCTACAAACGTGTGCGTCCACACACTGCCCGCGTAGGAGCGCGGCCAACCACAACGGTGAAAATGAGGCGGTGTGCTGGCGTGACAAGCAGCCCACTCGCGGAGTCGTGTCAAGTAACTGGCAGCCTCCCACTTGCAACTCCATGTGTGCAACAAACAGGGGAAGGCATTGTGTGACCTCAAGCGGCGTGGGGAGCAATCTTGTGGCGTGTATTCTTTCCATCGCACGAAGAAGAGATTTAAGAACACATTGGCATTGCGAGCAACGACGTACCAAGCAATGAAACACGGTGTCCTACGCCATCCTCGTTACAAGTGTCGTCGCTGTAATAGCATGGGTGTAGCTGAGATACACTTAAAAAGCACCGTTCCACCCTAGCCCCATCCCTCCACCCACCATGAGTTTCAGCTTGCGAAACACACAGTCAATCACGGTGGTCGGAGCGAACCCCCTGCTCCATGAGAGATGTATGCGATTACAAACAAAAGCAAAGGGACTTCTTTGCAGTAAGACACACGAGCAATATTGCGTAGGTGTAGTTGTAGTGGTGTGTGAAATGTTTTACCACATGTGAAATGCAGCAACAGCTTCAACCTTGCAATGTCATAGTTGCCCGTCGTGGCGCTCGGTAAAGAAGAATAACTCCACTATCCCAGTACCCGCTGCTCCTGCTCGAGACTGAGGAGTACCCCCACCCCGAGTTGTCTCTAGATGTACAGAATAGGCTTCTCAAGGATGGCAATTCCATAAGGGGGCGTCGAAGAGTGCACTTGTTCAGACAGACACCTCGTTGGCAAGTTGGGTAGTAAAATAAATTATGGGTACTGAAATACCACACTGTACTCTCCAGCCGGTTGAGGCAAAAAACGAATTGGCAATAAGAATCATAACCAGAGTGAAGGTCGAGTAGAAATGCCCCCATCAAGATGAGGCCGATAGTGACGAGCAAACTCCTGCACTATTGCGTTTCTAATTGGTGGGTCACGTTGCGACATACCCGGTTCACCGCGACCTCCGACACCAATGTTGGGAGAAGGAACTTAGCAGCGTCTAAACGCGTCGTGAAGACCGTGTGTCGTCAGCGCAGTGCGAACACAGGCACATCGACTGCGGCGAAGGAGAATGTTACGAATGTGCCAAAGATGGTGTGTCCACCAACGCCTCCCTGCAGTGTCAACATAATGACGTCTGGAATGCCAATTGGCACCAGGTAGTTACGATATCCGCCATTGCATTCAAAAAAAAAGGGCGAATCATCACTTGCATTTCATCCTCCAGTGTGTGGAACAGTGCCACGTCCTCATATTCGGAAGACTGCGCAAAGTAAGTGGCCGTCGTAACGGTCATCTTCGTGGTAGTGGAAGGAGAGACTTTCGAGAGACAGCGTAATCGCAAGGAACGTGAGGGGGCATCTTTTGTGGTCCGACATGGCGCTCGTACTGTGTTTTCACTGGGTGGTGCGAGATAGATGGTCAATCTACAGGCGACGGTGCGCCTTGGTTGAGAATTTACAAAAAAAAAGATGGGGAGGAGATGTTCGCCTCTCACAAGAGACGCAACATGCAGGAGGAAATCATGTCTCCACGAAAAACGCCTCATTAGATGCATAATGTATGCCAGCAGAGAAGTGCATTGTCACAAAATACTAATTAAAATCTCTCCGATCACTTTGTCACAGACCCATCAACCCCCTCAAACCTTGGTATCCCCCGGTGAAGCGCACACGTGGCCGAAAACAATAACGATGATGTCTTCTTTGAGATACAAGCGTGACTTCTATGTAAGTCGGTGAGCTTTATTCACTAGATGCATGCGCTAGTTAGGGGTGAAACACGAACGATATAACTCATACTGAGAATAAAAAGACAGAAGATTATGAGACTATCATTGCGACGTCGACACAAGTGTTTCACAGTGCCGTTTAGCAAGGCTAGTGCACACGATTGTGTTTTTTGGTTTCAAATCACACGGGTGTTCTTCCACGAGGCTTACCGTGTCCTTTCAAAGATGCCCGTACTGGTGTCTTCTGAGCAGCTGGCAACACTGCTTTTTGCTAGGAGGTGTGTTATGGAGTATGAAGCATCAAGTGGGGTTTGCGCTGCTCCTCAGGCACTACGGCAAGTGCATCGGAAAGCGCACGTGCTGCCTCAATCACATGTGTCACCTTTGCAAGACGCTCACGTACCTCTGATTTGTTACGGCCTTCTTTGACCTCATGCGCAGCATCAGCCTTCATGAGTCCCAGCTCATCAATGAAGGGAAGGATGTCCATGCTGCGGTTGCCGACAAAGAGGTACTCGTGAACATTCTGAATGTGCCGGCAGACAAGCTCGGATGCACACGTGCAGCAGTTTTGCAAGCGCCAGCCTTTGCCTTTCGACAATGCCTTTCCAAAATCGACGTAGTGTGTCTTGGAAGAGTCCGTCTGCGACTGCACCTCAATCACAGTCGAAAGTCTGTCCTTGTGGCGTAAGTATTTCATGAAGGGCGGTGTGTGGTCGAGCTGCCCGAGCAGGGCGCGGGTGGTACAAAACACACGCGCAGCGGCGCGAAACTTTTCCTGCGCATTGAAGTGCTTAAGTTCCTTAATGCTCGCGCACAGGTGTACGTCAGGCTGCAGAGAATCAATCCATGCGTGCTTTAGTAGATCGTTCGCAGAAGGGCGACGCTTCGGGTCAGGTGTCATGCATGCGCTTACAAAAGACTTAGCTGCCGGCGATATGTTATCCCAAATATCATCCGAAAACGTCCATTGGTTGGAAACAATGCGAGAAAAAATGGCATTGTGTGTCGAACCGAAGAAAGGCATTCTCCCAGAAAGAAGAATGTACGTAATCACCCCTAACGACCAGACGTCACACTTTTCATTGTACGGCTCTTGTTGTCTGTGGTAGTAACCCACATTGATCACCTCGGGCGCAATGTAGGATGGTGAACCGCAGCACACGCGGCTGGGAATGGTACCCGCAAGCCCAAAGTCAGCGATACACACATCCGAATGGTATGACAGGCGGTTGATAGACGATCCCTTGCTATGCCGCAGTAGCAGATTCTCGGGCTTCAGATCGCGGTGTATGATACCTTTGGAGTGGATGTGCGCTAGCGCAGAAAGAAAGTTCCGAACGAGGTTCGCGGCATACCGCTCACTGTAGTGCGACAACTCCACAATGCGGCTAAACAGCATACCACCTGTAAGAAGGTCCAAGACAAGGTAAATGTGCTTTTCAGTCTTATAATAATCAATAAGGCGAACCACATGCGGGTGGAACCCAACCCTCTCCATCACACGTATTTCAAAGTCGAGGTTATCCATATCCTTGGGTCCGGCAATGCTCTTGTCCACAATCTTGACTGCAAACTCCTTTCTTGTCTTGCGATCGATGCACTTGTAGACGACAGCGTAGGTCCCCTTTCCGAGGGGATCGCCCTTCACTATGGCGTACTTTTCTTCAAATTGCATCACCCTATCGTTCGGCATGCCTTCGCCCCTTTCCACACACCCCACGCTCATCGCGAGAACAAGCAAGATCCAACAGGAAAAGAGCAGGGAACTCAAATGCGTAGCACACGCACACATATCTTAAAGTTTTATAAACCAGAGAACGACGAACAGCGCATCGGGAACAAAAAAAATTTTAGTTGCGAACAAAATGCACGGCACCTTGGGAAGCATGGGCAAAGCCCCCACTCCTCGTGATCCCACTCTGTGACCAGCAAGGAGGCAGCAGCAGGAGCCTCGGTGCCACTCGTGGCAAAACCCGACGCCTCACCTCTTTGCGTGGGCCACTCGGAGCACGAGAGAAGAAAAAAAAATGGAGCCGCCGTCACCACAACACACTCATGATGCGTCTTTCTTTGTGTCTCGGCGCCACCAAAAGAATCCATTATTAACCCATACAGCACGCCTCAAATAACACCCAATACCCCAACAGTAAACTAGTTTGTTTTTTTTGTATCTCGCAGCACACCACACACATGTACGCAACTTGTTTCACGCCCAATATTGCGGGCAATCAACGAGTGTGATGCGCCACGTTGTGCCCCGTTCAACGGAGTGAGGGCGAGCTTGGCAGGCTTATCGTGAGGGAGCGTGTGGCTTACGCAGATTTCGGCGGCGGCAGCATCCCACTACCACTGCCTCTACACAGAAGGAGGACACGACAGGTGCAAGCGCTCCCCTGAGAAGTATGCGTGCACAAGCTGCGACTCAAAGAGCTGGGGAGGAGGCACACGCTCCAAAGGAAATACAACTGGCGACCACATTTCACATGTGCACAAGGACACATTGTCCATCACACAGAATCCCCCACCCCGACCTCAACACAACACATATTCGCACTCATATCGTCCTTCACATCTCCTTGGCCTCGCACAAGGCAAGGTGATGGCGGTGCTGTTTCCCAGCAGCACGCACCTTCACTCCCCTGCACCATGGCGGGGGGAAGCATGCGGGCAGCATACCGCCTGTCATACAGATGTGTAGGGCTAATGCATGCCATGCGTCATGGGTCTATTTTCGACGGTCAAATAATAACAAGGGCAAAGTGATTCAACTTGGCAAAGCGCAGTTACGCATGCGCGTCAGAAGGGGTGCCGCTTACGTGCGCAAGCAGCATCCATTCCAGCATTCTCGCACAGCTCCGGTTGCTGGCACCAAAAAATTCCTTCAGGGCGCCCATCACCCATTAGACCATCTTAACAACCGCGTAAGCATACCTCCTCGGCCAGTCAATGGGGCAACCTGTGTTTCTCCGCCACAGTGAACGGCGTGTACAGAGAAACCAAATGAATAAACGCAAATAGGCTGTGCTATAAGGGTAAAAAAAAAACAAAAAAAAACGTTTTTCCTGTTGAAGAGTTTCGACGCCCACCATGCATCACGCCCAGCCACACCATCATCAATGAATTTTATTATCTCCCAGTGGCAAACTCCCAGTGAGGTAAGAAACAGGCGAGCGTCACTATTTTATTCCCTTCATGTTGCACAACCATCCGCCGCATTGCCATTCACGGCGTAGTAGGTACACACGCACCACCATTACCAGGTGTACCTTAACCAACGCAACCCTCCCCCTTCTACAACGACATGGCAGCGCAACGGAAACGACAACGCAAGATCCATGCAGCGGTACAGAGGATGAGACACACGAGAGGAGGCTGGACAACGTTACACTGGTTGATGGTCCTCCTCTCAGGTTTGTACCTCTCGCCAACACACACACACTTCCGTCACTCGTGTCCATCGGTATGCTTCTCGAGGTGTTTGAAGCGCGGCATCGGTGTCGCACGCTGCTGGAGTTCCTGCGGGACGCAGCGCCCATTACCCAGCGAAGGAAGCTCGCCAGGCCGCATTCCCTTCACATAAGGCACAACGTACGTCCCGAGCCACGACCACAGAAGCATAAAGGCTACAAAGAACTTCCACGGATACATCCGAAGCTCACTCAAGCGTGAACGCCACGGGAGGGACTTTCTCCGCCCAGCCGCCTCTCGGTCTCGGCGCAGAGACTCGGCGAGGTCGAAGCGATCCTTTCCCGACTTTGCGTCACTGACCGCATGGTACGTCGCGCGCCGTGGCGGCCGGTGCTTCAAAGCCCCGCCCCCTTGGAAGCGAAGAGCCAACGCCGTGCGCCACATATGCACCCCGCCCCTTCTCACACCCCTCACCACTGATGTGGCAAAGCCCACGGAGCGAAACAAAAAACAAGAAGAAAGGTGGTGCCAAGACTCAATGCGAACAGTGTACAAACAAAAAAAAAGAGCAATAACACGCGCAGAAGCATATGCTGTCGTACCGTGGAAAGTGAGAGATGCACAGCGAGAGAAACAACAAAGAAATTTAACCTAACCGATATGGCGTCACGACGGCTTTAGATCATGGAGTGACAACGGCGTCGTCGACCACTTTCGCGGCGTTGTTGCGCGCGGCAGTGCGATGTGGCGTCGCATTTCATTGCGCCACTTAAGCACCTCCTCTGCGATTCTTCCATTCTCCTCAATCAACGCACTGCGCTCGCGGGAGAGGCGTTCGCACTCCTCCGATAGTCTTTCATTCTCGTGTGAAAGGCTTTGCATATCCTCTTGCACCGCAGCGACATCCTCTATTTGTGTCTGCATTTCCTGCACCTCTGCGTCACGCATTTCCAGCACGCCTTGCAACACTGCGTTCTCCTTACGCAACTGGTCGTTCTGCTCGAGTAGCTGCTCCAGCGTCCCAGTGAGCCTGTTACGCTGGGCATCTAGGTGTGAAACCGCCTCCTCGGACTCCCGCCGCTGCGCCGCGATAGAGTCCCACTCGTTCTGGTAGCGTGCACAAGTTTCCTGCAGCGTCTCCAGCCGCCCATTGGCCTCCTCAAAGCGTGCATGCAACTCGTCGCGCTCGCCAGTGACTTTCACGAGGTCGCTCTTTAAAGTGGCCACCTTTTCATCCAGACCCCGTGAGACGCGCTCCGCAGCGCCTCGTCTCTCACGGGAGAGCTCATTTTGAAGGTCACCTACTTTTTTCTCCAATTCAAGGCGCTGCTCACGTTCAACAGAAAATGTCCGCTGGGCCTCCTGCTTCGCCACCTCGTACGACCGTCGCTGACGCTCCGCATCCTCTTCGGCTTGCTCTGTCATGTCAGTGAGGCGCTGCTGCAGAATCTCGTTGGCCTGCTGTGCACTCTTTAGTTGGGCAGAGAGTACGCGATCCTTTTCTGCCATGGCGAGCTTGAGACGGCTGCAGTCATCCTCTAGAATGGCACGCTCCTTAGTGTGCTTTTCTTCTGCGCGGAGCAACTCGTCCTGGCGCCGCTGGAGCTCCTCTTTGATACGACGTCTGTCTCCTATTGCAGCTTCCTTCTCATTCTGCAACCGTTCATTCAGCTCCAGCAGATGCGACCGCTGCTTTTTAGCCTCCTCTAAGAGGGTTACCGTACGCTCTGCACTTTCACGGTCGTGGGAGCGTTGTTGCTCAAAGAGAAGACGCTGCTGCCGCTCCTTCTCTTCGGCGTCCTGCAGCTGTTTCAGCGCGACCTGCACCTGTGTTCTCAACTCGCTTGTTTCGCGTGTTTTCTCCTCATACAGTCGCTCGTACTGTGCTGCAGTAGATATATATGACTGGAGCTGCTCCTCCAGTTCACTCATCATACGAGTGCCTTCAGCTTCCAAGGAAGCAACGCTTTGCTGAGCCGTCCGCCTCTGCAGCTCCTCATCCTGCAGCTGTGCACGCAACACTTCTATAGTCATCTGCAGCTCCACATTTTGTGTGGCCTGCTGCTGTTTAGTTGCACCCTTGAGCTTCTGGTTTTCCTTGGACAGGAAGTGCACCTCTTCCTGAAGCCGACCAATTTCCTGCTGAAGGCGCCGGGCTCTGTCATCTGCGACACCTGACGCTCTGGGTGGGATTGCTGACGGGCTCTCGCGGAATTTGCCACCACGATCAGGTGTGACAAAACGGGAAAAGGATGATGGGGATTCAAATGATGCGCGTGGAATGGCCCTGGGTGTACACGCCTCGATGGAGGTCTTCTCCTGCAGACGCTGGCGCGCGCGTAGAAGCATCTGCTCCACAGGGTCACGACGCTGTGTCTCACGGCGTACAGGGCTTGACGTTCTCCACGTCTCAGTGCCTGTGGGAGGAGCACTGTGGCGAGGCACACGTGAAGAAAGCGGCAGTACCTCTTGCAAAAGGGAGTCACTGCCACCATCGCTCTCGTCCATTGCCTCTGCAGGGGCAGCCGCCACTTCCTCCGTATGGGAGAGACGACCATTGGTCTTCTGGACAGGGAGAGGAGCCGCCGCCGCTTCTTGTCGTGGATGTCGACCTCCTGCGACGTGCGTAGTAGACCGCGTTCCCTGTTCCGCCGACACAGGTGTGGGTGATGAATAACCCCCTGCATGGTATTCCTGGTTCTTCGTGGACGTCGCCCCGTGAGAAGGCGGTTGATTTTTTTTTCCCTGAAAGGAGGACTCCGTCATGCGTGTGGTTGCCGCTTCTGCAAAACCACTTTTGGTGTTGGCTGCCTTAGACTCACCCTTAATGTGGATGGCAACAGCAGAAGTGCTGGTATTTCCTGACGCGATATGGGCAGTTTCCGCAGGGCCGCCACTGTGTCTTGCCACGTCCTCAAGGTCAAGAGAAACGTCGCTGGCGCTGCCCTGGGCTACTTCAAAGCGGATGCTGGTATCCGTGTTCTCCAGCTTTGCCGTTGAGTCTGTATAATCTGCAGCTTCCGGCTGCTTACCAAATGCCAACGATGGAAGCACCGCCTTTACCTGCGTGGTAGCGGTGGCCCGTGTCGTCTTGACGGGGCCGTTACCCGATTTGGCACTGCTTTCACTGCTGCTGGTGTCCAAGCTTCGGAATGTCTGAAGGCGTGCGGGCGCTGGCTGCTTTTTCATGCTTGTAGTGTGGCGGACATGAGCGGCGTCTTCCTCTGAGGAGTTCATCCGTGACCTCCGCGGGTGTAATCAGCTAAACATTAAGGGGACAAAGTGAGAAAGAGGGAGAGAGAAAGTAAAAACGAAAGGGTGTGAAGCAGAGTAGTGGGTCTTGCGGCTAGCCCCACCCGTTGGTCACGCCCAGCGACCAGAATATAAAAAGTCAAGATTCTCACACCTTGTTTTGCAGGGCACTACAGCGGAAGTGCGGTGTTTTTCGTCCGCGGGTCGCGTGTACGGTACATGAGCACATACGCGCTGTGCGCCTCACCACCACCCTCCAGCCGTTTCACATCCCCCTCACTCACAGTGGCCACGTGCTCGTCGTCCAGGACCAGCCACTGGTCGTCATTCTTTCCCCAGAACACATAGTGGCCACTGTCTGCAGTTCTGCCCTTGTGAGAGATGACACCACACAGCTCATAGTACCCAGTTGTGTTGCCAATAGCGGCAGATGCAGTATCTGTCAGAGACTCTGGTGGTGGTGGCACCTCTCCTGCTTCTGTCGCACCTTCGTGACGCTTCTTCTGGCGCATTTCGCGGCGGCGGTCAAGCTCCCTGTCGCGGCGCTCCATCACCTTCGCCCGCTCGGGCTCCATGGACGTCTTAAGCTCCTCTGTGCATAGCGTAAAAAGGTCCAGCACAAGGGGAAAAGTGACAGATCGCAGGATTTTGGCCTTCTTTTGCGTGTCGTTACGCCACGAAAAGCGGACAAGGTGCACAAAAAGGTACTCCGGTAGCGTGCTGATTCGGCTCGTGCGTGAGAAGGGTGCGTCACGTGAGAGCGTCTCGGAGGGGAGGGTGACCATCTCGTTGAAACCCGTATTTAGTCCAACCTCCAACGACTGTATTTCCGAGTTGATGTTGCAAGACAACATCAAAAACGGAAGATCTTGAACAGCAGGTGTATCGTCGGGGGCTTCCTTGCATGTAGTCGTTTGCTTTAGAGCTCCTTGAAACAGCCGTTTCTGCGACTCTGGCACCACTTCACTGATGCGCTGAAGGAGAATGTTCAGTACTTCCTGCGAATCGTGCTGGATTGGGTTCCCCCTGTCATCACGCTCATTAAATGTAGGGCACTGCACAGTCAGGGTGCTCCAGAAAGGCAGCGGCAACACAGCGTCCTTTGCGCCATCCATTGTCTTGTACAACTGACCCAGCGAGGAAAGCAGCGGGTCAGTCGTACGCGGTTCGAGCAGCTGGCGCACCTCTGGAACAAGGCGGAGCATTTGAATTGCCGCGTTCATGTAGCATGTATTGGCGATGTTCTGCAGCCCGTTTGGCATCTCCGTTTCGAATGCGGCGCCTGCTTTCACTGCTCCCACCTCGACAGATACCTCCGCCGGTGGGGGTACTGCGGCCTTTGGGGCATCATCGGCAGTCCCGATAAGCATAAGCGTCTTACCGTCGACCACGCCAACATCAGAGAGGGTTGCACTGTCGGTGAGTGCACCTGCCTTGATACCCATAATCTTCTGCCGCTCCACTGGGACAGCCGTTAGCGTATATAACGAATCCTTGAACTCCTTGACGGTGCTCTGGAGGTTGACGGTGAGCTCAAGGAGCTCTTTGCCCCACTTCACCTTGACCTTGATCATACAATGTGCTTCTCTCGTGAGGTGTCTGTGGTGCTGTTATCCAAGTTAATTTGTAGTGCTTCCAGTATTGTCGTACATGGGGAGGGGGAAAGCGAAACGAAAAAAGAAGACGGCGAAGGAAAAACGAAAAAAGGATGGTCAAGGTCACAACGCTCCACAGGTTTTGCTGTCCGACATACGCTTTCCGATTTTCTACGTGTACCTTGCATCGTCTCATTCTGTTAGTTTCGCCATGCTGTTTGTGTTTGGTGTGTCCCCTGGTCCTTTCCTTTGGCACGACGGTGAGCATTCGCATCCTGCCACAATAGGCATGCGCTTCATGATCTCAGTGGCAATTCGTGATGTCGTTGCAAGCCCGCAGAGAAATACCGAACGAAGACGCATAGCGTGACTGCAGTGTCTCGCTCCGTCCATACCCACGGCAGCACGTCGCCTCAGTTCCGATACGTTTCGTCACCCGACAGTTGCTCCAGAGACGCATCAGCCTTGATATGAGAGTGTAGACGACCCCAAAAGGCACTGAACACCATCGAAACAGAGGAGCAGTAGTCCAACAACAGACGCTTTATCCGAAGATATACATAGTATGCAAGTACCACCTCCTGCTCCACGCTCGCGGCCCACTCCCCCGGTATCTCGTCTAATTCTCGAAGCAATCCAACACCTGTTTCCTCTCCTCCGCCTCTTGACGATGACGACAGTGATGCCAGACTCTAATCTCATTTTTCGAACGGCACATCGTAATGCACCGCCTACAGTACAACTGTGCGAAAGTCACAAGTCTTTGCCTCGCGTTCCACGTGCCACGTCCATGCCTGCGGAGACAAGCGTGAGCCATTCTGCAATGCTGCATCAACGTGGCAGCCTACCACAGCAAACCGGTGAACAGCACCAGATGAAGGAATTCGCAACACGCTAGATGGCTGTATCCTCAGATGAAGAACATCCTCACTATCCTGCAGTACACCGGTCACGAAAAAAAGAGACGCGACCCTCATAGTTCTCACCACAATGCCCTCAACAAATCCAGAAACAATGATGGGGTTACAGCGTGGCCCATTGTACACGACATCTATCACGTGTTGGAGACCGTACCCCTGCGGTGTGGTGCACAAGTCGGGGTCGCTGAGAGCCGCGAACCGCACGGAAGACGGGAAGCAGCAGTTCTCTGGTACGGTATCAACTGCAGGCAGCAGCGGAAACCCCAACTTCAACTCCCAAACTTTAAAACAGAAGGTCCTTGTATCATCGGAGCAAGCCTTGCCGTCCATATGTGCCGCGTCGGCAAAAGAATAGTGGAACTGTGAAATGGTGCGTGGCGTGGTGCCGAGAGCGGCGTCCATCAGACACGGACTATCCAGCAGAAAGAACCACAGTAGCCGTCTCATATTCTCAACACACGCATCGTAGCAGTCCCCACAGACAACTTCCAGCGGCCAGAGAGGAACAGTTCCTCGGTGCGTAACTAACACTTCTGTGACTTCAACAGCATCCATAAGTGGCACGACAGTGTCACCTGCAAAGTGAGAGTAGGCCAAAACTGGAAGGACTATGACTGTGTTACAGCTCTGCTGCAGTACGTGGAGATCCTATTGAAGAGATCGAAGGGTGCCGTGGGAGAGCAGCTTATCTCTTTCCGGCGCGTCACGAAGTGCAGCAAGCGCCAGTGCGCACCACGCAGGCACATAGATGATAAACAGTTTCCGTCATTCAGTGAATATCAGAGCCCCAATCACTCTCCCACTCCCACTACCAAGACATTGGTGGCGGCACAACGACAGCCCAGTGCGCATAAAAAAGCAACCAAAACCACATCCGCACTACGACAAGAGAAACAGTATCTGCTTTCGACAAATCATCTGCTGCCGCACGCGCTGCGGAGACTCTGCCCTTGTGGAAAGTGCCATTAGCTGGTTCCGTAGCAATTTGCATAGAAGATGTTTCCTGTTTGTACCGTTCCACTGGGCACCTCGCCAGCACTCTGACAACTTGTGTGGGTGGGCGCTCAGTCGCACCACTTCCCTTTCTCTGTGTCCTCCTTCGTGAGCAAAAGAGAGAAAGAGTGGGCGTCCACCCTCCTTCTGCACACGCACCCATGGATGGTGTGTGTCCAACCCAGCCATAGCGCACGGCACATCAAGCTCGCGTAGTGTCACAGCCAAAAGGGTGTTGAGAACATCGACAGACGCCTGTCTGGTGATGAGGAGATTGACAGCAGAGTAGTCCTCCGCTGATCCCTCGCTCACCTGATAGCCGTCCTCCTGCAAAAGTTTCACAGCAGAGGNGAGAAAAGCAGCAGACAGCTTCCTGCTCTCACGGCGCCCGAGAGCACGAGACTTGGATTGAAGCAAATCCTTCATTTCATCGATAACACGGAGTAGATCCTTCTTTATACTCTCCACCGTGTCGGTGATCCCCCCTACTGGTATGGCGTTCGAGCTCCCAGCGAGCTGCAGGGCGGCGGTGGCAATCGCAATTCCATGAAGGAGCTCAAACGCATTATCACTGGAGCATGTTTTCCATAGGGAAAGGAGTTCCAGGTCAAAAAGGGACTCGGCTGCAACTTTTATAAACGAAAACCCCTTTGCCAGAGACTCTGCGCTTTCAGGAGTCGTTGCGAACGCCCTGCGGCAGATGGCGTTGAGGCTCTCGCCTTCCTCCAAGACGAATAATGGCGGGAGAAATTCAGCGTACCGTTCCATCGCGAGGTGTGCGGCGCCAATGTGATCCACCGACGCCAGAACCTTCAACGCCCGTCGATACAGGGAGATGGCCACCCGCCTTGACATGACCTTTTCATGGCTATGGAACGATAAAACAAAAAACGCACAAGGAGGAGCAAGTCGAACTAAATAATAAAAAAAAAAAACGAAATAAACAGGGGGAGGAGTAGAAAAAAGACTGTATAATATTCCCCCACACGGAAGGCAGGAGGGTCATTAAAAAGACCAAAAAAAAAAATGTGCGCGTGTCTGCACACGTACCAGTAACATTTCTGCTTATCCTCCATGACTGCCTTGTGGTGTTATTGGAGGTACACAATTAGAGAGGCCCGGTGCCAAGACGTGGAAGAATTGCCATGGACATGAGTTCTTGGAATAACAGCTTGCACGCGTACGGCATGAGCACCTGAGAAATACGAGCGTTGTTATCGCACCCCTGGCACTTGTAGACGTTCTGCTCAGTGTCCGCTGCGCAAATCGTTCCGCAAATGTTACACACGTGAACAGAGTAGTAGTCACTCACACGGAAGAGGCGCTCGCGTAGCCATTGAGAGGCACCATAGGAGAGCATGCAGTCGCGTTCCATTTCACCAAAACGAAGGCCGCCTTCGTGGGCACGTCCTTCGGTTGGCTGACGCACCAATGGCTGCAATGGTCCTCGAGGTCGGGCGTGAATCTTATCGCCTGACAAGTGCTTGAGCCGCTGATAGTACGTAGGGCCGAAGAAGATGAGATGGTCCAGAGGCAGGCCCGTGTGACCGTTATACAAGCACTCATTGCCGTAGCGCTGGTACTTGAGCTGGTGGAGGGCCTTGCCGAAATCCTCCACGACAACAGAGCAGAACGGTGTAGCGTACACCTCGCTTCCTTTGTAGCACGCCACCTTTCCAGCGAGAGTCTCGATCAAGTGAGCCACTGTCATGCGCGATGGAATAGCGTGTGGATTGATAATCAAATCCGGCACAATTCCATCACGGTTGAACGGCATGTCTTCTTGACGGAACTGGATGCCGTTTGTTCCCTTTTGGCCGTGACGGCTGCAGAATTTGTCACCAATATTTGGTATCTTGATGGTGCGTACCTTGACCTTGGTGAAGCGATTTCCATTGTTCTCCGTGAGCATTACCTTGTCAACCACACCCTTCTCCGCCGTTCGTGACGCGATACTGCAATCCCGCTTCAGAAGTCGCGTGTTAGCCACCGCAGAATTCTCAAGATCCGCCTCAGGAATAGGAACTGTTTTTCCAACAAGAATGTCACCACCCATCACAGGCATGCCAGGTTTTATGAGGCCGTCGGTGTCAAGCTTTGTGTAGTCGGCATGCTTCACACGGCAGATGTTCCGATCGGGATTCTCAAACGTCTCACGCCCCTCCTTCTTGCGCTCCTCCGAGGCTTTGTATGATCGCCAGAATGCGCTGCGGAAGAAGCCACGCTCTACCGCAGAACGGCTCATGATAATAGAGTCCTCTTGATTGTACCCAGAGTAACACGCAATGGCCACAACCGCATTGTGTCCGGCAGGGAGATCGTTGCTGCGCATGTAGGACATGGCCTTGGTACGTACAAGCGGCTTCTGCGGGTAGAAGAGTACGTGGGCGGTTGTGTCCATACGCATGTTAAAGTTAGAGGCGTAGATTCCCATTGCCTGTTTTCCCATAGCCGACTGGTACGTGTTACGCGGTGATTGATTATGGTTCGGGTAAGGAATGATGGAGGCACAAATGCCCAGAATCATTGACGGATCCATTTCGCAATGCGAGTAGTAGTAATTCTTGCTCACCTCACTCGCCGTCATGGCAATGAGAAGCGAGTCCTCCTCCTCGCAGTCAATGAGCTCGACGTAGCCCTTCTTCATCACACGGTTCCACGAGATCTCCCGCTTCCCACCTGGTGCCTTGGACGGCTCCAGCAGCTCTCCAATTCCAGTCTTCTGAAGCTTGATGCGCGACTTCTCCACAACAAAGAGTGGGCGCAGACACCTGCCAGAGTCAGAGAAGACACGGATTTCACGGTCTCTGATGTCGCGCACGATGCTTACCTCGTTGCTCAGCTCACCACCCCGGCGCCGCGCACGCAACTCGCGGAGTAGCCTCTCGGGGTTGCGGTGCACACCAATCAGGGTCCCGTTCACAAACACTCGTGCAACACGCACATCAGCGAGGCCCGGGAGGTCAATCGAGTGGAATCCGGTGATGCGGGCCTGCACAGCTTGTACGACGCCGGTGTGGTCGCTACCGCGCGAGACAAGGCACATGAGCGCGAGGTTTTTCAGCAAACCAATAGAACCGCCTTCAGGTGTTTCCACAGGGCAAATGTATCCCCACTGGGTGCAGTGCAAGTTGCGTGGCCTCGTGGCCTTGCTGGAGGCGGAGATGGGGTTCTGAATGCGACGCAGGTTGCTCAAAGAGGACGAGTAGGTCAGGCGATTGAGTGTTTGGGCAACACCAGTCTTAATGTTGCCAGACTTTAGGTCACCAAAGTTACCTGTCGCGAGGCAACGGCGCAGACCATCTGTGATGAGACGGCTGTGCAGAATCCTGCCAAAACTGACAACACCGCCTCGGTTGGTGGAGTAGTCATGCACCGTCTTGGTCATCTCCTTCCGCACCTGCACTAGGAATTGATTCAGTTGGAATGTGAGGAGCGCCCCAGCGACATCAATACGCTTGTGGCCGAGAAAGTCACGGTCCGTGTCCTCCCTGCGCCCAAGTGCTAGCAGGAGGAGGCGGTGCACCATATAGCCAATAAAGAGACACTTGCTTCGGTCAGCAGCACAGTCAACCCCCATGTGCGGCAGAAGGTCTCGCATCAGCAAATCCTGCGCCTCGCGCTGCAAATTTTCACGACTGTCTTGTTTGCCCAGGCGTTTACCAATGAACCATAGTGCTTCGTCGCGTGTGAAGATTTGAAGTGTGCTCGCATCCTCCATGGACCCTCGCAGCATCTCAAGCATGGCGGCATCCTTCAGGTCCGGAACCACGGTCTGGAGGATCTCCTTGTCTGATCCCATGTCGAGAGCACGGAAGAGTACGAAGAGCGGAATCAACTCATCCATCTGTGCTACACGACATAGCAAGTTCTCATAGCCGTTCCCAGGGCCCTTTTTCTTGTACGGCATCAAAATCTGAAGTGTACGCGGCTTGTTTAGTGAACCCTCGACAATAGACTTGATCTCGCAGAGGAGTCCCTTTTGGCGTGAGAAGGCATACACGTGATTGGCTGCCTGCCTCTCCTGAGCGATGAGAACCTTCTCCGTCCCGTTGATGATGAAGTAACCACCCTGATCGTGCGGACACTCATTCAGTCGCGGCAGCTCGTCCTCGTCCTTGTTCTGTAGGTTACACCGCATTGATTTCAGCATGATTGGGATGCGTCCGAGCTCCATATTTTGTAGGAATGTACGGTACGGTTGCTCCTCACGCGAGCGGTACACACGGATCCCAAGAGTCACCTGCGCGTTGGCGTCATACGTCAAGTCGCGCAGCCGACANTCGTTGGGGAATAGCGGGTGCAGCTCCTGCCGGCTGAAGCCAGACACCTCGTGCGACGGGTTGCCGACCACCACGTCCTCGAGGCTGAGACGGTACTGGTCCGGCTCGCCGTCGGACTGCGTTCCCGGCTCGAACTGCTCGTCCTGCCGCGGCACAATCTCGAGGAGGCTGCGCGCCATGCGGGGGATGCGGAGGAGAAAGTCATTGTACGAATCTATCTGCTGATGCACCAGACCCTTCTCGCGGAAGAATGATGAAATAATCTCCCAAATGTCCTCACTGTCGATGTCGGTTGAAGCAGCGTGGTCACCACCAGCCGTGCAGTCGATGTCATCCTCGATGAACTCTTCCGTCTCATTCAGCTGCAGCAAGAGTTCGTCGTCCATTGATTACCGTCGCCTTGGTCTATTCAGGTGACGCAGACACAGAGAAAGAGATACGAATAACTATTGCGCAGAGGGAAAAGAAGAAGAAGACAAAAAGAAAAAGAGGAATATGCACGCACAGAAAGAGTTCCACAAGCTTGTTCACACATCAAGCGCCGCCTGGGGCAACAGAGAATAAAAAAGTTCTTCAGAAAGAGGTACAGGACAATAGAAGCGGTAGTGATTTTCACTGGCGTGCGAACTCACCCGTAAGAGTCACCGCCATGGAGTCAATCTCCTTTCGCAGACGGTAGATGGCAGCCAGCTCCTCCTCACGCAGCCTTGACTGCTCCTGCCGTAGCCACCGCTCCTTGTCGTTAAGTGCGCCGCCACGCCGCATCATCTCCACGCGATGCTCCCTAATGCGGTCCTGCGTCTCGCTGATCTGCGCACGGGTGCGCGACTCAAGCGCGTCCCGCTTCTTCTGTTTATCGGCAGCGGCCATTTTGGCTGCGCCGAGGCGTCCGCGCTTCTCATTGACGTGGGTATGGCTGGCGCGCCGCTCCTCGTCCATCTCCTGCGCAAAAGTGTCCAGCAGCCTGGACGCCCTCTCCGAACCCGACTCTTCCTCGTCCAACTGCTCTTCCTGCTTCTTCAGCAACGCCTCCCGGTGCTGCAGGAGGGCAAGCTGCGACAGCAACTCCTCTTTGCGTCTTTCAGCGGTGTGAAAACGCCGCTCGAGTTCAAACTCCTGCCGCTCCATCTCGCGTTCTTCTAAGGTCAACTTTTCGTCCAATGCGTGCAACTCCATCGCCTTGTCGTTGAGCGAGACCCACCGGCCACCACCCAGTTGGGGTGTCTGTAGTAGAGCACCGTCGTCCTGTTTCGCAGTAGTGGTGTCCGTGCAGTGCGCCAGTTTGCCGGCGTGAAGCGCGAGCAGCTGGTACTCCTTCTCCGTCGCGCGCCGAATCTCCTCCAGCCGCTGTCGCTGCGCAGCCGTGTAGCCCGCGATGTCGAGCGTCATGGGGAGTGGGGTGTGTGGACCGCCTCGCATCATTGTGGTAAGGTAACGTTCACAAGGAAGACAGACAGAGCAAATGAGTGAGAGGTAGGGGAGATGTGAGAGAGGACACAGCACAGATTACGTATTTGCCTGATGGCAGACGTCATTGTAACGCCACAGAGATCGCAGTTCTTACACCAGGAGTGCAACATTGCCGCGTGTAGAAATTCTCCGCGAGCGGTCCTCCTCCCTCAGGAATGCGAGCGCACAGGGGCACTAAAGCGCGGACTCATCATTAGTCGGACTTCTTCCTGCGTATATGAGGCGGAAGCAGTTCGTGGAGGCTGAAAGACGACGACGACGGTGTCCTCTCAAAGCCACCAACAAGATACTCCGCGTCCCGCAGGGACATCGACATTGGCGTGCGGAACCTCACGTCCGGCCTCGTGGGGTCCGAAAAGTCAGCATCGTCATTGTCATCGATGTCGTCTGCACCAATGGCGTCCTCTGGGCCGCGCTTGGCACGCACGTGCAGCGAGAAGACCACGCCCCCCGCCGCCAGTGAGACGCCAACCACAGCGGCTGTGAAAATGGCAAACAAGAGAAGTGTGGTGGCCACAAAGCTCCCAAAGGGGTACTTGGAGAAGTAATACGCGAGGCCGGTGAGTTGGACAGTAGTATAGAAGTACACGCGCGTCAGCCGCACCTTCCCCAGTGCGTCGCCCACTTGCTGCTGGTATAGCGTGAAGTTGATGGCACGCAGCCGCGGCTGCAAAGCGACCGGCGGCTCAAAGTCCGTGTAAACCGTCGCGACAACAGCTACCTCCCTCAACGAGTCAATACTCGGGAAGACATCATTCTGCAGGGAAGGCACGATCTTCTCGTAGAGCCACAGCGGCACACAAAAGACGAGGCTAAACGTCGTTGTTAGCAACTGCAGCAGCCAACTGCGGGCCTTCTCGCCTGTCACGAAGGAGAAAGATGTGGTGGTCTTGAACAGCACGTCTAGTGAGCTGACAACCTGCGGCACGCTGGAGTCCTCCGAAATCAAAACCGACGACTGCAGCACCATCGACACGTCGCGGCCCACCTCTTCGCGTAAAAAGACAAGCTGCACCTTTGCATCGTATACGCCCTTCGCGTTGAACATCGGCTTTCCACGCTGAAAGAGAGCCTCCATGGAGACACCACCGCCAGGAGGAAACACTTCCCTCTCCACAAGGGATGGAATGATCAGCGTGCTTGTCGCGACTGTGTTTTGAACATATCTGCTGATCAGTGACATTTTAAGCGAGGAAGCTTGCTCTATTAGTGACGCCGCCAGATGTGTCCCGGCACCCCCCTCATCGAGGACAGTCAACACCTTGTCGCTCCTACGTGGTGGTGCCTCCAGCAGAGGCGATGCCTGCGTAACGGCGCCGTCAAGATTCTGCAGCCGCCACAGCTCTGTCTCAAACGGCATCGTATTGAAGTCGAGGGGCAACAGTTGATTGCCTGGGGTGCGCAGGAGAAAGTAATGGCGCAAAGCCACTGAAGAAGCGAATGCAACATTAAGGCATCCAAACAGTACGACTAACACAAAGAGTGTAGCCGAAAAGATGGCGGCGGCGACCACAAACACATTGACAAACACCCGAAAGGCAAGATGCTGTCCAGTCTGGAGCAAACGCTGTATCTCGTGCACCCAATCGAGAAGATATTCTTGAATTGCTTTGCCCGAGTCCAATGCAAACACATACGCCTCGTTCATGCCAGATGCTACTAGTAGCGGAACGCAGAAAAAAAAATGTGGAACCAAACAAGACTGTACAGGCACAAAAACATAAAACAGCGATGAGGGCGCACAGAACAGCGAGACGCATGCGGGGGGGGGAGCAGAGTTAGGGCGCACTGTACGTCGCGAGCACGCGCTTCACATCGTCTGCACACACATGTGGATGGGCTATACACGCATGGCAGTACACCCGCAGCGTGTCAGGTGGAATACTCAACAGAGAGTTCTTCCAGTGTGCAATAGTGACCTCCTTGAGAGCAATACAAGCCAGCATGCCATGCAGGAGGCGCCTCAGCGCGGACGTTTGGGAACCTCCAGCTTCCCCATCGGTAAGCTCACATCCGAGATGGTCCATGCCTTCCCTGTAGACGTTGTGCTCCTCCTCGAGCAGAGTGCTGACAAGATCGAAATCTGCGTGTATGTCGGCCAAGGCGCTCCCGCCAGGGGTGGCGTCACGCCGCTGCCAGGCCTGCGTGTTCATCGCCAAGCGGGATAGGACAGCGCGCCACCTCGAGGGCAGCACCTCAAGGTAGTGCCGCTGCACCCGCTCCTGCAGGTACGTGCGAGAAGCAGCAGCCGCCATGCGCTGCACAGCCGTTGAGAGCCCACGACGTGTACACACAAAAAGAAAAAAAGAAACAAAGAAAATGCGGTCAAAGCAGCAGAAGTAGCGGTCTAAAGGGAACGAAAACAAAAACAAAAAAAGCCGCGCCACGGACAATGTTATGGCGTACGGATTACACGGAGAGGGGGTCTCACTTAAGCGGCCGAGGATGTTAACGAAAAAAAAAATGCCCCAACCTTCACGTCCTTTTACGCCGTGCTGCGTTGTGCCTTGGCACTGCGTCGCGCAGGTGGAGGAACACTTACACGGCTTGGTTTCGCTGGCTTCCCCGCCCCATCGCGTGCGGTGCCGTCCCGGGCCCGCTTGAGGCCAGCCGTTGTGGCACCCTTCTCACGTCGGGCACTCGCCAACTCCTTCTCCTCCGTGCCAGCAGCGCCGCTGAGTTCCGTCTGTTTGTTGGACAACTTTTTCAGCTTGCACACGAAGAAGCCGTCCATGTTGTGCACGTGTGGGAAGAAGCGGCGGGCGTTCTGCATCTTGTCGTGAAAGCGGTGGTGGCGGTACTTCGTCAGCCCAGGGCGTCCGAACGGGAGGCCCATCTCGACAATCTCCACGTGGCGCCGCCGCACCGCGAAGTCCACGACGGCCTCGTTCTCCTCCACAAGGAACGAGCAGGTGGAGTACACAACGTAGCCGCCCACCTTCGCCGCGTCGATGGCGGAGAGAAGCAGGGAGCGCTGCTGCTGCGACGACCGCTGCACGTCCTCGTAGTGCTTGCTCGTCTTGATGCTCTTGTCGCGGGAGATGATACCGCTTCCTGTGCACGGCGCATCGAGGAGAATGCGGTCAAAGTTCTTCATTACCTTATCGTAGCCGGCGCCGTCGTAGTTCGTCACCACCGCATTGGTCACGCCGAGGCGCTGCAGATTCGCGTTAAGTGACTTTGTACGGGGCTCGCTCACGTCATTGGCAAAGAGAACGCCCGTATTCTTCATCAGCTGCGCAATGTAGGTTGTCTTGCCACCAGGCGCGGCCGCCATGTCGAGGATGCGCTCGTCCTCCTGCGGGGCAAGCGCCATCACCGGCAGAAACGACACCGCGGACTGCAGCATGTAGTGGCCGGCGAGGTACTCGATCGTTCCCGCAATCGGGACGTTCGACTCGAGTACCTGCAGCCCGACCTTGGACCACTTCTCCAGTGGTTCAACATTCATGCCGCGCTTCACCAACGCCTGCACCAAGTCGCGACGTTTTGCCTTGAGTGTGTTGACGCGGATGGTCGTTGGCCGCGGTTTCTCCATCGCCTCGAAGAACTCAACAGCCTCCGCCGGGGGGAAGAGCAGCAGAATTGCGTCGGTGAGGAAGTCGTTGTATTCGTACAGCTCCATCACGTCGGAGCGCAGCAGCTGCAGGTACTCCTCACGCGTCCGCTCCTCTTCGCGTTCGTCCTTGAAGTTTGAGAGGACACGCACCGTCTCCTGAATGCGGTCGCGCAGTTCCTCCGCGGTGTGCCGCTGGCCGAGCAGCTGCAGCTGCTCCTCCTCCGCGTCTCTCAGTGGTGTGGCCTTCACAAGGCGCGTCCGCATGTCCGCGTCGCGCTCCTCCACGGCGTCGCGGGTCTGCGCAAGCATTTTCCTGCGGTACTTCTCCGCCTTTACCTCGAAGTCGTCATCGTCGTGAATGTCGTCATCGTACGCCGCAGCCTCCTCATCGTCCCCCAGCAGAACGTCGTCGAAGTCGATGTCCTCCTCGTCGTGCAGCGGCGCCTCTTCGGGTGGCGGCGACACGTCGTGCTGCACGGCGTTGGAGCTGCCTGCTGCCCGCCCCGACTTCTTCTTCGCGCCCATGACGAACACACTTGTTTGCTTCTACGGCGTGCCAGTAGCCGTGCAGAAGAAGGAAAAACGAGAGGAGCAGCTCTGCAACCCACACAGCCGGTCAGGAAGAAAGCAAACAATCACAGTCTCAAGAGGGCAACGGCGAAAAAAAGTGCGGAAGGCGACAAAGCCGCAATACAACTTACAACCAATCGAACGAACACCACGGCGTTCCTCCAGACGGGAAAACCACGCGACAACGTGCAGTGCGCTCGTCCGCATGCTGTCTCAGCACCAGCAGCAGCACCGTCTGTGATGGCTGGCAGTCACACTTTCCCACCACACAATAGGCAACGCATTTGGATGCGCGTGGCGAGTGTGCTACGCTGCAGGTCGCGCCGAGAGTTCCTCCTCCCGCTTCCGCAAGTTGGCCTCGATGCGCTGCAGCTGCTGCATTCGCCTCCCGCGCTCGCCCAGCGATAGGTCCCCCGTCTGGCGGTCACGCTCCATCTGCTCTGCGCGTCGCCTCTCCACACCCGTCCGAAGGCGCCCCAGCTGCCGCTCCTTCAGCACGACGGCCTCGGACCACCGCAGCTTCATCTCGAGCTCGCACTGCACCATCTCGCTTTCCTTAGTGCGCAGCGCATCCTCCCACAGAAGAAGGGAATCGCGCTGCTGTGCGACGTGCGCCTCCGCCTCCCGCAGGGCCATCTCACGCGCCGAATCCACCTGCTCGCCTTCACGGCAAAAACGACACACAACAGCGAGCATACCCCAATTGCCTCTCGGTTCCGAGATGTTATAAGAACAGAATGGTCAGGCAAACCTCATATGTGAGAGAAATGTTATGCGTGTACAAGCAGAACTGTGAGGACACCACGTAAACTAATTTTTTACTGTGTGGCAACGAACAGTGTAGACATGCGAAAACAAAACGCGCTCTGGAGCAGGATGAAATGCGCAAAAGCATGCGTACGTGGGTGTGATTGTCGCACTTCACGCGAGCCACGGAACGCGACAAATGAGGACGACTAATGTTATGCGCCATACACGGTGGAATGGTGATGGCGTCTGGCGCACGTCTGAACAGACTGCTGGAAGTGCACCTGATGTTCAGTAGCGCTAAGCGCTGCTACGGGGTCCGCAACGTCGCCAGGCATTTGATTTCCACAAAATGTTCGGTGGATCCACTGCAGCCACCAGACAGCGGGAGTACGTCCCAGGAGAAGTGGTGGTGTAAGTGGGTGCTGTGTCGACAGTTTAAAGTGCGTCTTGGGGTTGAAAAGGCATGCAGGGCCACCACGTCCTCCGCACGTCTTCTTCAGTAGCCAGTACGCACTGAAGAGTGCTGCGGAACGTCTGATAAAGCAGCGACGCATCACTTCATTGTATGTGGGAAATATCGTGGCAGAAGTGCCCTGCTGCGTCGCCATGTAGGAATGAAAATAATGGACGGCCACGCACTGCAGCAAGGAGTCCATCAGTCAACCAAAACAGTTGTCCTCATAGCCAAAAGCGCTGGCCAAGCCAGCTGGAGCACCAACAACCAGCGGAGAAAGCAAGGAAAACAAGAAGCTACACGGCACCTAGAGTAATATTAGATCACTCCACATGTCGACATGAGGTGGGGAACAGGCCAACCGAGGGATTCACGCCATCACGTGAGAGAGCCATTATGAATCGCACCAGGGTAAAGGTGCTCACGAGCAGCAATTCACAACATCACCAGAGCTCATGATGTGTTCTCAAGCGAAATGCCATCACCCAAGTGAAGTTCCTTCAGTGGCATAGTCATGTGGACTAAAATGGGATTCCTGCCGGTTGTAACCGAAATGAGTCCAAAAGTATCAATGCGTCGCTGCTGAGAGGGTGTCGAGGGCAATGGGCGGGAACGTGTCAAATCAGCTCGTGGTGGCCACACAACGCAGAGCAAACCGACAACTCTTCAAACACCTTTGAGAGCACCACAAACAGCAGAGAAGACAAGCAGGGTAAAAGCAATATCGCCTAGTGCAGCCAAACCTGCACAGCGAATAAGAAAAGGAAAAGGTATACGCCACAACGCAATGGGGCCACAGCCATCACCCTCACGAGGCGCCACCACCTCCTAGCGAAAGCGCGCAATTAAGAGAAGAAGGCATCGCGTGCAAGCCCACACGCACAGAGCCAAGTTTCCGCAAAGTCCATAAATTTCTCCGCATCGACACAAGCGATCATGACGCCCAAAGGAGATAAATGCGCAGAGGAGGGGGTGGGGGAAAAAAAAGGAGCGTTTCATGCCCAAAGAAATCTGCAATGTAAAAAGGGTAGCAAGTGGATAGAAGCAACATGGATAGACGACTGAGGGGGCTCCCATAGGTGTTTACACCCCAAGGGAGAAGAGCTGTGCCAAGGCGCAGCACACAAAATGGCAAAACAGAGAGTTGTTTGTAATCCTCATCAACACACATCACCAATAATGAACAACACTCTAAAAACAGTGCTCAACGAAACTGATATAGCACAACCACAGAAACAGCTAATATCAGCGCCGCTTACAAAAAAAAAATTGAAGAGGCGTTTGAGTTCATGTTTATAAAGTGATTGCAGCACAGGTAGCAACAGGAAATCAAGATTAAAAATATAGCTCCCAACTCAAAGAACATGGCAAAACCAAATGGAGCAGTTCTACGCTATCAGCGCTCAGGAAGAAGCGTCGTTAGCATAACGGGGTCAGCCCGCACACAGCACAAACAGGCAAATTTAAGAGGCATATGCACCACATCATCCAGCTTGCGCCGCAGACGGATCGGACAGTTGTAAGCCGAACGAAAAAGGAGGGCGCACAATGTGAGTAACTTCACCTGACGACGGTCGATGCGGAAGCGCTGCCAGTCGCACCTCCGCCCCAGCCCGATGGATCGATGGATCTTGCGAAGTACTGAGTGGAATATGCACGGACGAAACTGTCGCTGTCAGGGATCCCAAAAGTGATGCGGTACCACGAGAGACATCCTCATTGTGGCCCACAACAAATATAGCACGCCGCACAAGAATCGCCAAAAGACACAGGCAATACTCATCCAACGACTCATCACCCCTCGCGGGGAGAGAGAGCCGCCAACGACCACACAACGCAACAAGCACATCAGCCCGCTGACGTGGAATAAATGGACTGAAAAGACGTCGAGCAAACGAAAACAGGGTATCGTAACAGCTGTTTCGAGAATCACCGGAAAGATCACTGGTACTCTCGAAATGTTCTTCATCACTAGCATCACTTGCCTCAGAACGCAGTGCGGCGAAGGTGCGCCCGGGCACAGCGTTCAGCTGGTACATCTCCACAGGCACAGGCACACCGCGCAGCGCCACACCGCCAAGCGCAGTCACGTCCAGCTGCTCACGCTCAGCCGTGCTCAGCGCCAGGTACGCCGCACCCGTCAGCAGCACCTGCCCGCCGTTACCAACGCTCTCAGTGCGAGAGGCCGTGTTCGACGTGCGGCCGTAGTAGTCGTAGCCCTTCGTCACCTCGTCGTGCCGGATGTCACACAGCCCGGTGTGCACACCCACACGCACACGCAGGCCGTTCCAGTACGCCCGGTACACAGCAGCGTCGAGGCGCGCAGTCGGCGGCACGTACTCCTCGTCCTCAGCAGCACGGCCCTCCTCGAACTCGTGGTACGCAGCGTCGATCGCACCACTGCCCCAGTCGTGCTGCAGCAACGTCTGCTGTATGTCCCGCGCAAGCTGCACGGCGGCCCACGCACTCTTGCACGCAATCATGAAGGAGTCGCCGATCGTCTTCACCTCGTAGCAGCGGTACGTCGCAATCAGCGACCGGATCAGCCGGTGGTGCGTCGCCACAGCGTCAGGCATGATCTCGGGGCACGCAGCCCACAGCGCAGTGCTGCTCTCGATGTCAGTGAACACAAGCGTCACGGGGTCTGTGGGCTCCTTCGGGGCGTTGTTGTTGTCACGGCCCGCACAGCAGCAGAAAAACGCAAACAGAGCAGCCAGTAGTACACCTCCGGAAATAGGGCCAACAATTATACCAATGAGTTGAGCATCTGAGAGACCATTCTTATCGGGCTCCCCGTACTCCATCGACGGCGTCACAGCGGGGAACAGCTCAGGCACTGCGGGGTCCAGCACGCGGGCCATCGACCACACAGAAATATACGTCGCTCCGTAGTTCACAGCGCACTCAGTGGCGTTCACGGTATTCTGGAGACCGCACTTCTCGCCGTCCTTGAAGGGTCCGTAAAACATATCGGCCACAGTGATGGCAATGTTCTTGTAGAAGAAATCAACCAATAATTGGGCATTCACTAGCTCCATTCGAGAGAGAATACTTTTCACCGCCAGTGTAGTAGCGAAGCTCCTCAACGCGAACGGTGCCCACTTCGCCTTGTCTTTCACAGCAGCGTGGAACAGCTGCACCGTCTCAGACGTCGTGCTCTCGTCTGCCCAGTGCGGCAGGCTCGTCGCGAACACAAGACGCCCAGCAGCCGCACTCCCATTGAACGCAGCAACGAATTCATCGTACAGGAATGAAAACTCCGTGAACAGCAGAAACACACGCGCACCACGGTGCCTCGCCAGGTGCTCCGCGATCACAGCAACATCGGCGGCAGCAATGCCCACGACGAACACATCTCCCTTACGCGGCAGGTAGCCCCCCAGAGCGTCACCGCCAGCCAGCAGCGCGGACGACAGCAGCGACCCGCCAAACGTCACAAGTGACCGCTGCAACACATCCACCATCGCAACCGCCTCGTCGTTCCGGATCACGGCGTGGGCGTTGGCGTTGGTCGTGCTGCCAAGGTACTGCGCAAGCACAAAGAACTCCTGCTCCAGCGTCGGTGACAAACGGAGAACGTGCCGGCGAAACTTGCTGGTCCATGGGTGAATATTCTGTGGGTCGATGAATACCAGAGATTCGTCATTAAGCATCACCTGTGTCACCACACCACCTACGGCATGGATGCGCTTTCTCTCCATCTCATCCCTCAGGGCCGTCTTTGCATCAGTTGTTGAAGCATTTATCAGCTCAAGCGTAATACTGTTTGCATCCGTGACGTTCAGCTGGGTACCCAGCGCAGCAGCTGCACCGGTTATCATGGCAAGCGTTGCCCTCACCGCATGGGCATCGTCAGTCATCAGGAGAGCAGCTCCATTCAGCGGCGCACGGAGTCTCATGCCGTCTGTGTAGCATGTCAAAGCAGGAATCGTAAGCTCTCCGCTCAATATGTTCTCAGCGCGATACCCCTCCACGAACCGCTTCATGTAGACTCTTCGCCCACCTCTGTTGCAGTGGCAGATGGCGCCGTACGCAGCAGA